TTGAACCGCCAGCCTTCTGGTTAGCAGTCAAGTGCCTTAGCCACTAAGCTACCAGAGCATCCCACCCTAATCCCCTTATAATTGATTGGCTGATCACATCATGGGAAATAATTACATCATCACACAACTGCCAAACCACTGAGCTCAGCTGAGTTGACACATTTTTGGGGGGACACAATTTAATCCCTAACAGAGGTTAAACCTTTACTTTATTCCACCACTATTTCTGTCTCTCATGGTGATTACTTGGGAGGAAGTTGGGGTAGAGGGTAGAACAGCAGGGAAAGAACTTAAATGTTCTGACTTCTTGAGAAGAGATATGGAAAAGTACAGCATAATTATTGTCGATAATAAATTAAATCTTACTGGTCTGTTCCTGTTGGTACAGGGACTGCAGTGGTGGTGAGGTAGGGCTTCTGACTCTGGCTACTTTAGTTATAATGGGCATGTCTGAGTGTCATCAGGTAGATATCTATAATGGGAGACGGTTCATTTCCTTTTCCTGTTATAGTATGGCAGGGGCTACTTCGGTAGTATCTGTATTGGCGTTCTGGGGAGGACAAGATTTCCTGCTCAGCTCCTAGACAAAAAAGGCTCTGCCACCAAGTGTGGTGAGAGAGGTTTGGCCTCTCCGGGGGAAGAAGTGCCAACAATCTTTTAAATTAGAGAGCCTGAGCTGCTCAAGTAAAGGTTCTAACTGGCTCTGGTTGGGAAATTTTGTATCTCAGGATTTTTCCTCCCACTACAAATATTCTCCCCATTCAACAACCAATGTGAAAACCCTGTTCTATCAATTAGGGAGCCCTGACTGCGCACACACCCAACACATACGCAAACGACACATACACGTACCTACGCACCAATAATACACGCGCATCACACATTACACGCCGATGACACGCAGAAACACAGACACCACACAGACAGACCTACAGTACACCTGAGCCGGAGGCAGGAGGCTGTTCCATACCGACGTATCCCCTGAAACATACACAAGGACTAGGGAGGAGAGGGAGAGTGAGGAGGCGTTGGGCACGACCCTGCACTCAGACACGTGCATCAAGCAACATTCCGCGCCACTGCGTCCCCCATTAAGTACGCACCTTGGAGAGGCACCATCCCGAGGACTGGCCTGACCAAACACCCTCCCAGATGGACCGCATGTTACCTACCACCCGAGCATGGCGGACCCAAAGCCCCAAATCTAAAGGAAAAGGCATCGCAGGCTAGTAAACGAGGAGAGGAGAGGAGAGAGATGGGGAGAAGAGGTGCGTTCCTGATTCGAGACAACAGTGGGAGTGGGAGCGATCCTCTCCCCAGCCCCGGTCCCCCAAGCCTTACTGATCTTGGTGCTGCGGCTGGTGGCTGTGCGGTATCTCCCTGCCCTGCGCCGCCGCCTCACTGAGGTGGTGCCGGACGCCCCCGCCAAGGAGAGGACTCCGGCTTAGGTGACCCCAGCCCCCACGCCGGCAGGGACTGCCGGCCTGGCTCAGAGCATTCTGCAGAACCCTCATGGAACGCATCCCCCGCAACGCGCAGCTGGCTTTGCCTGAGCGCCTAGGGCGTCTGGAAGGAGGCTGGGGGGTGGAGGAGGCGGGGACGAGACCTAGGTGGGAGGGGAAGTTTGGTGACGAAAAGCTGAGCCTCAGAGATGTAGAGGAGGGGCCCCTGTGGGTGGGTTGGGACAAGAGGAGGGGCTAGTGCCCTTAACAGTAGGACCATACCTAGGTGCACCCATTACCCCTAGACCCGGGGCGGGGGAGCAGTGTGAGAGATAGAAGAAAACTGGTGGGGGCCGACTAGAGGAAGAAAGGGGGGCAGTGTCTGGCAGTCGAGGTGGACAATGTTAAGATCCAGTCAGTGAGGAAGCCAAAAGCTTGGGTGCGGGGAAAAGTTGATGCTATCCAATGAAAACAAGGCGGTGGGCCGCAGAAGAAAGCCTTTGGACCGTCTGGGCTCCGGCCCCCAGGGACCAGCATTGCTTGCGCACGCTGAGGGCGGGAAAGCCAAGGCAAAGATGCTGCGAGGCCGGGGGAGTCCGCCCGGACGCTGCAGGGGTTAGGGAAGATGGCATACTTGGGTAGAGGGGAGAGTGACACCTCGGGAGCAAAGGACAAGAATGACTTCTACTTAGGAGGCAGTTTATTTGCCCTCGACATTCGAAGGCCACAACTGGCACTCACCAGTTGTGAGTGCCCAGACCAGAACCAGACCCACCACGCACTGCAGGGTGAAGGCAAAACTGCACGACTAGTCACTGACTCGCGGTAGTGGTGAGTGAGGAGTCGGGGAGCGGGGAAATGCCCAGACCAGAACCAGCCCCAGAGCACTTCAGTGTGGCGGTGGTGTGGCGAAAGGCTGCTAGACCGGTTGTGAAAGTGCCCAGGTGCTAGTGTTATTTCTTACCATTTATTTGGCGGCTGTGTGGCTTGGGCGCCTTAATTAACAACGCTTGTTTGGAGCGCTGGGCTGCTAACCAAAAGGTTTGAACTCATTGGCCCTTCAGCAGGAGGAAGATGTGGCACTCTGCTTCGGTAAAGATTTATTCACTGCCGTTGAGTTGGATCCGACTCATAGCAACCTCTCCTTGGGTTTCCGAGGCGGTATCACTGCGGAAGTAGATTAGATTGCCTAACCTTCCTTCCTGAGGAGTGGCTGGTGGGTTTGAACCGCCAACCTTCTGGTTAGCAGTCAAATGCCTTAAGCACTAGCCACCAGAGCTCCTGAAAATCTTGTGGAGCAGTTCTACTCTGTCCTATAGGATCGCTCACCAGCCACTCCTCGGAAGGAAGATGGGGCAATCTACTTCCGTAGTGATACTGCCTCGGAAACCCAAGGAGGGGTCGCTATGAGTCAGGTCCGACTCGACGGCACATAACAACAACAACATAGGATCGCTATGAGTCGGAATCTACTGAAGGGCAGTGGGTTTGAAGTTGGTTTTCTTATCTGTAAATTGCAGACTTTAAAATAAAGCAATGTACATAAAAATGTTAGGTGCACCCAGAATTTTGGCTTATTTTTTTTTTTGTCCTGTATTCCTCGCAGGCAGGAAAAAGATGGTGTACAAAAAGAATTTTGAAAACGAAGCATATTAAGGAATTTTACCACTTGGAGCTAGAACATTCATCTTGTGTCTCCACAGCATGTAACACAGCATCTATATTTAGTAGGGATTCATTATATAAATAACGGCTGTTATTGAGTGCCTACATTGTGCCAACCACTTATAGTTTATCTCTCCCCCTTACCAGAATCCTTAGTACTTACTATTAAAAGTACTTATTACTCCCATTTTGTTGATAAGAAAACTAAGACTCAGAAATTAAGCTTTTTGAATAACTAGCAAATAAGCACCAGAGGCTGGAAGCGGACCAAGTGCCTTTGGCTACAAGGCTCTCTCACCATCATGCAGCCCTTCCCAAACTTAACCATTGAGTCGAATTATCCCAGGAAATTACCCCACGTCTAAAGGAGGTGTTTTATGTTACAGCATTATGAGACAGTCCTTGAGCTGTCTCTTGAGACAATTTTGGCCCTGTCACAAAATACCACTTTGTTTGCTTTTCCTTTTTAGATTAAAGTGAGCATCAGGGGTAACGATTGAGAAATAAATATCAAAGCCATGCTTTGGTGTGTTCTGTAGAAAGGCAATTCTCCTTTGCTTTGGTTTAGTGTTGGAGGGTTTATATGGCTTGAAACCAGATGGAGTGACCTTGTTTTTATTTTTGTTTACTTTTCCCCATGGAAAATCATGGAGCCCTGGTAGCGTAGGGCCTAAGGCACTTGACTGTGAACCAGAAGGCTGGCGGTTCAAACCCATCAGTCACTCCTCGGAAGGAAGATGGGGCAATTTACTTCCATAGTGATACTGCCTCAGAAACCCAAGGAGGGGTTGCTATGAGTCGGTCCAACTGATGGCACACAACAACAACAACAATATGGAAAACCTGTATTTTACCTGGGAGCCTATAAGAATCACCTAGGGAATCTTGTTGATATGTAGATTTTGAGTTGGTATATCTGGGGGGAAATGCAAATTCTCAGCAGCGTATCCAACTGTAATGAACTGCTTTAAAGCCCTGGTTTTTCCTTTCTGTAATCATTTCTGATCTCATATCAGTGGGACTTCCTTCCTCTAATCCAGCACTCCAGCTTGCCCTGGGCTGCCTTATCCTGTGCTCTCTTTGTGACTTCTGTTAAGAAAAAGGAGGTCTGAGTTACCCTTCAGGGCTGGAACAGAACTCACTCCTATGGCTTCCATGCAAACAATAGATGGGCAGATGGGGTAAACATTTACATCAGGTTGATACATTCCTTGGAGCCATCAATCCTGGGAAAACAGAAGGGCAGTGTTTGCACAGGGAGTTGCAGCCAATGTCATGAAACAAAATATGTATGAACTGCTGTATGGAAAATGAATTTACTCTGTAAACGTTCACTCAGATCACATAATAAAATTTCTAAGAAAAAGAAAAAAGGAGCTCTGGTGGCTTAGTGCCGAAGGCATTTGACTGCTAACCAGAAGGTTTGTGGTTCAAATCCACCAGCCGGCTATGGAAGGAAAATGGGGCAATCTACTTTTATAAAGATTTACTGCCTTGGAAGAAACCCAGTGGGGGGTCACTATGTGTTGGAATTGACTAGATGCCAATGGATTGAGCTATTAAGAAAGTTCTGGGTCTTGGTCTTTCCCATTCCGCAGGAAAGACCCATCTCCACTCTTCTGGGGACGTCTTTTGCTTTTAATGGCCCTCCCCGCTCATGGAGAGAGATCCATGTCCCCTCTGAAACATACTTTGCTTTTAATAAAGGCTTGTGTGCTTGTGTGATTGGTGCCTTGTTAAGTTTATCAAGCCACAGCCAAACACCACCGCTTGCTTGCAGATCACCTGGGGCTACTTTTTCGATGCTCCCTCCTGAAGATTCTTCTCATGAGTGGGGCAAGGCCAGGGAAAAGGGGCTTCTTCCCCCAATAACATTTTGGTGCTGAAACCTGGGACAGAAGACAAGTGGGCCCAAGCGAAAGCAAGCGGGGGAGAAACAGAAGCAGTCATATTTAAAATTTTAAAAATAATATATAAAAAAGAAAGTTCTGGGTCTTAAAAATTGGTATAAATTCAATCCAGTGTTAGGTTTTCCATATGTGACAAGCTAATCTTACCCTGTTTCATAGGAATGTTACCATTTCTCTGAAGCTTTTTGAGCTGTTTAAGAGGTTACCAATATGTTAAGGGATTTTTAAACATTATCCAGTAGGTGGAGTTCCTCCCTGGTGGTCCAAATGGTCAGTGTCCTTAGTGGGCAGCTAATGTAATGATTGCTGGTTTGAGTTCACCCAGAGGTGCCCAGATAGAAAGACATAGTGATCTACTTCTAAAAAATCAGCCGTTGAAAACCTTAGTGAGCACAGTCCTATTCTGACACATGTGAGGTCGCCATGAGTCAGTGTGGACTCCACAATAACTCTTTTTAACCCAGAAGTTACCTGTTTCCCTTATTTCTTAACCCTGCTCCTTGAATTAGCTTTAATCACAATCAGCAATGAATTCCTCACTTTTTCTCCCTGCACACATCTGCTATAGGAACTAGTTGGGCAGTAAAGAAAATCTCTAGATTTTCTAGGCTGGAGAGAACTAGCCTCAACTGCTCTTTGACCTTTGAGCTGATTCTGCCTCCACTGCATGATTGCTGTCCTGGCATGAATATAGAGCATGAACCAGCAACTTGGGAGGCCCACAGCGTACTGTAAGGTATAGGTTATCTAAGAAGGACAAACTTGCCATCCCAGGGGGTTAAGTCTTGGCAGGGTCAGATCCTTTTTTTCCTGTTGTTTCTGATTTTAAAAAAGAATTTAAATGACTTTAAAACTATTTAAGAAATGTTATGGGATCATAATGTTTAACAGAACTATTATTTTTCAGTGTAGAAACTCAAGCAGGGGAAATAATAGGTCATAAAACCTATCAATTGGCCAATTAATCACTTCACAACTTATTTTCAAATTCATAAAGTACAGAAAGGCATGTGTGAAATTATTCTCCTGCTCCTGTCTCCCAGCCACCCAGTATTCCCCCAGAGACAGGGTTATTGGTTCTATATATCCTTGCAAATTTATTTTATTTATCTAAGCAAATATATTTTTTCCCTCTTTTATACAAAGGGTAGCATACTGTAAGCACTGTTTTGTATTCCTCCTACTTTTTTTAAAATTAACTTTCTATACATCTCAGAGAATTTTCCAAATTAATACAAAAAATGTTTTCTTTTTATGGCTATAGCATTCTATGGTCTGAATGTATCATTATTTTTAAAGTCCCCTATTACAGATTATATTTCTACATATGTATTTGTATGTGCCGTAGGAATGCCCATATATATAATAGAGCTAACAAGGGGCAAAGTTATGATAACTTCTTAGCTACAGCCAGCCACTCTGAGGGAGTGAGTAGCTGGACCTGTGGGCCCGAGACCAGGGTCATAGGGGACATCAAGTTCCATTGACATAACATACTACACAAAAACATTGTTCTACATCCTACTTTGTTGAGTAGCGACTGGAGTGTTTAAAATTTGCAAGCGGCCATCTTGATGGACAATGGGGCTCTCCTTGTCCAGAGCAAAGAAGAACGAAGAAAACCAAAGATACATGGAAACAATTAGTCCAAAGGACTAGTGAACCATGTGAACC